CAAGTATTAATATGATGGCTTTCGCAGTCTCATGGATTACTAAGGGCGTGTTCCATATCTAAGTAAGTGAACTCCAAATCCGGTGTAATTAACTTTGAAGTTCCATTCTGATTATCACTCTTGGTCGCTGATCACTAGTTAAATGGAGTTCACAATTCTGTTCTTCAGAACATCAACCAGAGTAGGCAGACAATACCGCATGCATGTTCATCCATCCAGGTTCATTGTTTAAAGTTAACGTGCTCTATAAGTCAGTTAGTTCACTTATACCACCGATTTTCATCCGCAGTGGTTGTCCGAAATAACATCTGGTGCCTTACTGGACCTAATGGTACGTCAACCCCGAAGCTTACAAATGCTGTATACTAAGCCAAAACCCGTGGATGGTGCGTTGAAGACAAACTCTGGTACTCCTCGTGGTTCTACTCGAAGTCATACAACTGAGAACAAGTGGCCGGGATTGATTGGTAGCCTGGAGCGTCATCTTGTCAGCTTGCTCCCGCGGGTGCTCACATTCAATCATCCGCTATCGCGCGATGGCACCAAGTCCAGCACAACCACCAGTTCTTCGTCCACTGATAAAGACTCAAGTAGTAATACGGGGTCTTCAGCTCGAAATCAGGATTCATCTGAATCTAACGATGCCACAAGCGAAACCCAGTCGGTGCGCACCTCTTCAATCTTAACTTCAGCTGCTGCGGCCTCTGATATTGATGTTGTACTTTATACGGAGGTTGCACCCACCACCCTCACAGTTCACAAGTAAGTTTGTTCGTGATCGTTTGATCCATTATTGTCACACTTTTACGAGCATGACTGTGGTATTTTTGCGCCCCCATTCACATACGGGGAGACACGTTCTTCCGTTGCTCATCTCTCCTGTTCCTTGCATGTTCATCTATTTGTCTTGTACAAGACAGCAAACCTCGTAGTACTCACCGTAAGTTTACGGTAATTAGTCGGAAAAAGACACGCAGCGCTGTTCGTGTCAGATGATGTGGATACAGTCCGTATTATGACGGCTAATTACTCGTCTGTGGTGTTTTTCTGCAGTAGACGAAGTTATGTAGAACCCACGTCAATAGTATTATTGGTATGTTTTGTCTCTACCACTATACAACTCCCTAGTTAACGTAATTTTTCCTATAAAATTTTAAATGCCTATATTTCGACGAACTATCAAGTAAATTGCTAAAAGCAGAGTCAGATTACCTTATCACAATTTGACAGCTTCTATATTATCCCACTCAGTGCCACATCTATCCTATTCGGGCCTAACGTGGTTCGCCACCCCAAGAGCCAGGACTTGGGTTATTAGTGACTAGGCTCATCTCTTCTACTTTTCAGCACATGAAGGAGAAATATAATATCCATTTGTATTTATTATTCAAGCGCGTTGGTAACTATTTTTAGATAATCCCAACTTGACGTTTTTGGCTCCCGAACCTCCTCCCTAACCATTGGTGTGCTGACCTAGTGGTGGCATAATGATAACTTCGGAGAAGAAAAATCGGTTTGCTGTACTAACTACTACAAGGTTATCAGTAGCCTTACTCGTATTGCTGCTTTCACTGAAGGTACCACATCACACTGATCTTGGTGGTCTCCGAAAATAGTCGTGCTCCAATTCACGATGTTTCACCAAACCGTGGTCTCTTGCTCTCTCAGCCCCTTCAATTGCTCTGAGGGTGCATCTTTTCCTCAACAAACTCTGATTTTCTGCATGCCCCCATTTTGCAGTTTCAGTTCAGTTTGAGCAACCATTAACCACGCATATTCGTGCGACGATTTTGGTTGCTGTCTTTTGGCTGCCTATTTGGATGAAGAAGAGGAGAAGCAAGGAAACTTGAAAGTGGAGTCGAAAAGAAAGTGGAGAAGTTCTGTGGTCTAACGTTGCAAAGAGATTGGGAAGATGC